TTTTTTTATATATCAGTTAATATATAATATATGAAATATTTTGAATTTAACATGAGAAACAAGAAAAGGTAACAAGAAAATTATCAACTCGTGCTTTCGCTTAACTATGAGCAATAATCAAGTTACCTCATTAATTTTCATTAGCTCATACAAATGTTGCTGTCATGATAAATTAGACATAGATTGACTTGTTCCTTCCAAGCCTATCCTCTCTGAATAACGAATACAACTAATTATTGGCATCATAGATTAAAATGTAGCAGCCATTCTTACATTAAAAATGAATGGCAAACAAAGCATCTCGAATCATGATCTCTTTTCAAACTTCTCAGTCCCACGCCATTTTGCTAATTTATTATCTTTTATAATTTTATTCAGAATGACTAATCAACGAGAAAGCTCTCTCCGAAGAAAATAAACACACAAAACTAATATGTAATTATTAAGTCGTTATAGGTCACGTAAGCTTCATTTTCTTTGGAACTAGTTGCAGGCTCTCATATATAAGAGATTTTATAGTGTCCATATTTTAATTTAAAAATTTATGATTAAAGGTTATTTTTATTCCTGAACTATACATAAAAGATCACAAATATTTCTAAACTTAATTATAAGTTAATTATGACTTTCAACTTTAAAAATTTCCTTTATCATTAACTTGATATTAAAAATACTTAATGTTCATTAGTTATCAATGAGTCTTACTATTTTTTAATATTTTTTATCAAGTTAAAGGTCACTTTCATCCCTCAATTAAAATGTTTTATAATAAAATATTAAAAAAATATAATGTGAGGTCTACAATAATCAACTAATGACGAGAAAATAATAGAGTAAAGAAGAAAAGTTTTGAAGCTAGACCTATAGTTGAGTTTAGAATATTTATAATATTTTGTATACAGTTCAAGGATAAAAATAACCTTTGATTCAAAATTTTAATATAGTTTAAATATAAACAAACTGCATGTGTAGTTTTTTAAATAAAAATAAGAATCTCAACACGAGAGGGAAAAGCAAGGTATAGCAACAGTGTGTGTGTGTGTGTGTGTGTGTGTGTGTGTGTACGTAGGCACATGGATTTGTGAAATCATGTTGCTTATACACAGTAATTGCCCTCCATGTATACAATATACTTACACACATACATTTATTACGAATACGTGAAGACTTTAGATTAGATTTTAGAACGAGTCGTAGACTCGTAGGGTTTGAATATTGGCAAGTTCAAGCTTGGAAGACATGGATTGCAGTCAAATTGATACGTGATTGAATGATGGTGAAGGGAAGGCAACAAGAAATATATAGTAATTAGGGAATTGTGTGTGTTTGGATAACGATTTCGCATTTGTTTTGAAAAAAAAAATGTTAAAGAAAATGATTGGCTGGGAATTATATCATGTGAGAGCTAACTTTACAAGTTGGACGTGTTTTAAAATACGCAAGGAATCAGAATCGTCACCCTTTACTCGCCAAAACTTCACGACTTTCCATTCAGATCGGATCATTCTTTTTATCACATTCTACTTTAAATTCTATTTAGCAGTTAGCTATATCAGCTTAATACGCACAACGCACATATTAAAAAGTTCATAGCCAGGATACAGAATACTGCAAGTGTAATAATAATTAAGACTGTGAAAGCACGTAATATTAGAGTCGACAGAGTATATTTTGAAGAAAGAAAGCGTTGATGTTAAATAGATATAGAAATATGAAATATGTAGATTGAAAACATGGGTTGGTATATTTTATAGTAAAGGATGCAATGGAAGGCACCGTTTGGGAGGGGCGTAGAGTTATGTATTCGGTGCGTGATTCATGATTTGCAGAAAAGGCCGTTATCCCTTATGCACCAACTTTATCATTAATTCATTACGATACCTTCACCCACACAAACATATTGCTCAAATGAAAAGCCATTTCGCCCAAAATAAAATTGATGGTACTTTAGAGTAATATGAACAAGGTCACATTATATTCGAAATTAAAGTAACGTACGTCAAACATAGGCTAGACCCCAGCTTGTGCTATGCCACATATAACCAACATGTACAACTGTACATGTTTGATTCTGGTAGAGTCATTGGTCATCGCTACACTAATGCGTGCGTCGTGGTTGTGCAGAGAAAGAAACAAAATGTTAATTAATTGGCATTCATGCTTGTGAGGTTCCTCACCTACTTCACTCTCCCCACCACGCCTCCCTCCATTTCTCTCCCATTCCAAATCACTTCTCCTTTTTTATTGTTATTAAATCAAATTCTCACTCCCATCTTGTTTTTATTACGTATTTCTTCTTGTTTATTGTGAGTGATCTATTCCACGTCATACCCACCTGGATCAACCACCAGCAAAAGTGGCTACTTTCACCTCCACACCTTATGTATTTTCTTCTTTGAAGGTATTCAAATTTGATCATATTGTAAGGAATTATCTCGTCTTAAACTTAATTTTAAAGTGTTGAATGGCTCTCTTGGATTTGAATGTTGCAACCCCCACAAGGTTTCCATTCCTCTATGACGTCCTACCTGCCTTTTGAGTCTGAAATCCCCTCTTTTATTCCCATCTTACAATGATTCTGCTATTCATTATAAATTAATCAATGCTTGTTACTTAAAATGTTAGAAAAAGTAATCATTACATGCAAATTTTATCCTCTGTAAAAAGTCGTCATCAGTTTTCGCGACATTATTTCCCTCCACGTCTTGCACAGACATATATATATGCCATGTTACCATTTTCTCGATTTTAAAACTACCAACCCAATCTGGAAAGCGATGGACGACAAGCAAAATGTGGTTTTCAATTTCATTATTCAAGCGAAGTGTTTCCATGCCAGAAATTAAAGAAGTATTTCGGTCAGCGTTTCATTTTCAAATAGGAAATAGGACACGTTACTTAAGTAAATTTCACATATATGCTTTTGTCCATCTCTTTTTTTGAAATTAAAAGATCATATTTCTATCATTTACAAGTATATATGTTGTTTGGGAATTTTTTATTTTATTTTATTGATCTCCTTAATTTAGCAGGCATTCGTCAGAACTCGGATAAGTCATTTATGGGAAAGCCAGTGGTTATCTTTCCGTCACTATGTATGATGGATCGAGGACATTGAGTTAGACGTAGGTCCTAAAAGTGTAGACTCCAGATATCAAATCTGACTTGATGTTGTTTCACTAAAATTTCTGCAAAGTGCAAGCATGAATTCAAGATATACATGCGGCGAACAGGGAAATGAAATATTGAATGATGAGTGCCACCCTCTCATATATAAATATTTATAAATAATAATAATTAAATTATTAAAATATTTATTAAATTTTATTTTGATAAATTTTTATGATACCCAATATTCATAAAAAAAAAGAGTTCAAAGATAAATTAGTTCATGAAAGGGACTTTTTACTCTTAAAAAAATATTCAAAAAAAAATCTTGCTTGTCGATTTTCAATGTAAAATGCCCTATACTTCTTTAAAAAAAAAAGAATCCAACCCAAAAAAGTATTATGTGTCTTAAACAATCGGCGTAAAAATTGAAATTGAATCACTAGTATTTTGCCAATGTCGGATCTGGTCCATCTTGACCCAATCTATCCAGCTCAGTATCAATGCTTCCCACTTCCTACGTGGCCACGTCTTTATCCATAACCAACCAACCCCCTCACACTCGTTCCGCCCCCCTCAAACCCACAACCTCCACGATCCCAATCAGAGCGTGCACCACACACGCCACTCAACCAGAGCCAAGCCAAACTGTCAGTGCCAGAGTCCGAACTTTCAACTTTCACCAAGTTCAAAAGCCTCCCGAGTGGGACCCAGATTCATACGGACGGGGTTCGCACACTTTTGGTCGACGACAGTGTGATTTAGTATTGATCTGTCATTGGTGCATTGCATAAGAATGGTCAGATGTGTGCCGGTGGATTCTCATGCCGACACCTGTCCCAAACCAGATCGCACCGTCTAAAGCAACGGACCGTTTTGACCCCCCATTCATCGACGACCCTGTCACCACGTTAACAGCCGACGGAATCATCGACAGCGATGACAGGTCACGTTCGGGCTCGTTGCTGGGCGATTTTTTTTTACTCTCCAAATTGCCTCGTTGGGTAAAATTTCCCAAAATTATATAATAATTACAACTGGATTCCCTCATTTGTGGAGGCAATTATACTTATAATTTATTTAGTAAAAAGAAGGAAAGTAAAGATTGCGAATCTCGAAGACTCCTGCCTCTCCTGTTTTGGCAACTCTCTCAGTCTCCACTCTCCACCTTCCATGCCGTCCATTTATGTGTTTATCTCATTTTATTTATTTGCATCTCACATTCTCACTTCATTCATATTCTAGTCTGCCCATTGACATGTTTTGGACCCCGAACTTGCCTCTTAACCAATTTCTTCTCATGCTTCTGCCATGATCCCTTTATTAACTGCTCATTAATTACCGTATCGAAAACGATCTTCTTTAATTGGTCATATTAAGAAATTTAACTGTCCCAACCCAAAAATCTCTGATTTTTCTTTCGCATAGGGTCACTAATTTTATTCATAAACATCAATATGCACTATTAAATGCCATGTGTCTGTGAGAAAATGGGAAAACTTCTTCTGTTTTTATTTTTCCGGGCCTACAAAAATAGATAAACCTTTCCAAAATGCGAATTCTCTTTGAGGGGTTCGTTCGATTTATGAGTTTGACCCGTACAGGCAGATCCGCGAAAATATCGCGATATATTGTCGGCGTCGGCGTCGAGATTGGATGCTCCCAAGATCATGTACACTTCCGAAAGCCCGCAATGAGATATTGCCACGTGTCGAATACGACGAATGGATGAGGAACACGTGTGTGCGGGCTTGAATTGTTGTGGGTCCAGCATATGATAGGCATTTATGATCGTTGGATCGAGCTTCACCCGGACACCGCAAACCTTTAACCAGGGTTAGTATTAACTGTTAAGCCACCGGTGTGGTTGTCGTGTCTCCCGGCTCACATCTCTTTTGTGCCTGTTAGTGTTGGCGTGCGAGCGCGCATGTGTGAATGAATGTCATTTTTGCGATCTCTCTCTTCTCTCGCGACGCGTTTTTATTCGGTTCCTTTTTCACCTTCTTTTTCTTTTTTATGCGTCTCTGTGCTTCGCACTCATATCCCCTGATAATAATTGTACTCGCGCCCGGTTACTCGCTGGCCATTCGAGCCGCGAGTGCCCGGCGATCATACCGGTTTGTTGAGGACATTTGAGCTTGTGGTGCTGCCCGACTGGGAAAGATCTTGTCGGCTTCTTGTGCGGTTCCGATTCGGACAAGCGTGGTTGTGTTTTCTGCCGACAGACTTCGTTCATTACTCAAATCTCAAGGCGACTGGCTGGTAATGCACCTCGGACTTAAGGCTTGCGGTGTGCTTCTTGAACTCGAAATTATTGAGTGCGCGTGAAATTTTTGTTTGCATTAGCGGTTAAAAGGTCCTCGGCCATATAGTCGTGGTCCGGAGCTATTTTTGGCAAGGTTGGATCTTTGAGATTCCGACTGGAGGAAGCTGGAAAGGGCAAGACCAAAACAGACTTTCGTTGATTTAATCTACATTCAGAGTTTTCCAATCTCATCTCATATTTTTCTTTCTATTCTGGGTCCTGCATTGGCCAAATTGAGAGAAAATTGCTCTCCATATTGTTGTAGAATAAGGAGAAAAGGCTTGTATTTAATTCGGGTTTGGTTGGTTTTTAGTCGGTGGGGTTACTGGTGTGAAGGGATTCGACAGAGATGTGCAGGACAGAAAGGACTGAAAAGAAGTGCGAAAATTTTGGTGAGAAGAGAGATAAGCTTAGAGGAAGCCTTATGGGATTGAAGACATTAGGGGAAAATAGAGGGGAGAAGCTGAAAAATTCCATGGCAGTGTCTTCAAGGTCGAAAATGAAGCTGTGGATGATACGTGCTACCACTTCGGTTTTACTTTGGACGTGCATCGTTCAGTTAACGGCTTTGGGTGATATATGGGGTCCAAGAGTTCTGAAGGGCTGGCCTTCTTGTTTCACACACGAGTCTGCGGCCGTGGTGATGGATGCCGAGTTGCCTTCTACCCCTGTCAGAGTTCTCCCACCTAAGAGTGAGTTCTAGTTTTATCAAATTTCTCGCACTAGAACGGTTCACGCAGGAGCAGTCATTCTTGTTGCCTGAAATTTCCATAAAATTGTTGTGTTAATTCCAACTCTGGTCCTAGATCGTAATAATCTTCCGTTTTTTTGTTCGGTTTCCCGAAATTTGGAGGTGTAGATTTTTTGTTCGGTTTTGATGAATATACTTTGGAAACAGTTTTGTATGGTTTTTCAATTCTCATCTTTCCTTTCTTCTGATGCCATCTGTGTGGATGGGAATGTGCGAGTTTTAAAGAATCGATGCATTTCTTAAGTCGAAGCTATTCATATTCCCTGGAATTTTCCTGTTGTTTCGTTTGGAAACTTGATTGAATTTTACATTCTGGTTGTTCCTGTGGGATAGGTGTTTGACCTGCAGATTTAATCATGTCCTTGGTAATTTATTTTCCAAATCATCTCCCTGCTCTCCCTTTTCTCCCTGCAGTTTTCTTCGATTCTGTATGCCGACTTTTCCGTTTCCATGTTACTTATTCTTGTTTCTTCCCCTGAAGTTGTTTTTAAAATCCTGCTTATAACCAGGAGTTTATAAAAATAATGGTTACCTGATGGTCTCATGCAATGGAGGACTGAACCAAATGCGATCAGCGGTGAGTGGTTGACACGTGATTGACATTTCCTTGTTGGTGCAACTAAGATATGTTGCCATCTTACCTTTGTCTCTTACGGACTCTTTAATGTGTATGCTGTACAGATTTGTGACATGGTAGCAATTGCAAGATATTTGAATGTCACACTTATTGTACCAGAACTGGATAAAGCCTCCTTCTGGGCTGATCCCAGGTGTGTTTTAGTCTCTTCTTGGTATATGACTGGACAGCTGCCTTGTCAACGTTAAAAGGAAGGGTGGTTTTCTGCCCATTGTTTCTAAACTAGGTTATCTTAACGACTGCTTGCGATTTTTTTTTTTTTTTTTTTGCAGTGAGTTCCAAGATATATTCGATGTGGATCATTTTATTACTTCATTGAGAGATGAGGTGCGGATATTAAAAGAGTTGCCCCAAGACTTAAGCTGAGAGTGGAGCAGGGTTTAGATTACAGCATGCCGCCAATTAGTTGGTCTGATATATCTTACTATAAGAACCAGGTCATTTTTCATAATCTTTGGGTTGAAAATGAGAAAATTATGACTTTTCTTAGGTTTCTTTATATGAAGAAACCTCACTTAGCATGTGATTGTAACTTTATTATTTGGTCTCTCGGTTATGTTATTTTAAATTTCTTGTTTGCTAATTAAACTGAATTAACATGTTGATTCCCCTTTTCAGATTCTACCTTTGATACAAAAGTACAAAGTTGTCCATCTGAATCGAACTGATGCTCGACTGGCTAATAATGGTCAACCCTTGGATATTCAAAAACTGCGTTGTCGAGTTAATTTTAGTGCTCTGAGGTTTACTCCTCAAATAGAGGAGTTGGGTAAAAAGGTGATCAGGCTTCTGCGGCAAAATGGTCCATTCCTGGTACTTCATTTGAGGTATGAGATGGATATGCTGGCATTTTCTGGGTGTACTCAAGGTTGCAACAGTGATGAGGTGGAAGAGTTGACAAGAATGAGGTCAGCCAAATCTGCACTATTCAGCTTGTTCTTTAATTTTCAGATTCTTGTATTCACTGTGGATGTTGAAAGTATATTTTATATGTGCGTGTCTCAAACCTCTATTCCTTGTGCTTTGACAGGTATGCTTACCCTTGGTGGAAAGAGAAAGTAATTAATTCTGACTTGAAAAGAAAAGATGGTTTGTGTCCTTTGACACCTGAGGAAACAGCCCTTACGCTTAGGGCCCTTGACATTGATCACAACATTCAGATCTACATTGCAGCTGGGGAGATATATGGCGGGCAACGGCGATTGGAAACTCTTGCAAAGGATTACCCGAGACTGGTGAGTACTTGAAAAGTCAAGGGCAAATTCCTGTTAGCTTGTGTACCCTTTCTAACTGTTTCATGTGGGCTTGTTGAAACAGGTCAGGAAGGAGACACTGTTGGAGCCATCTGAACTTCAGTTCTTCCAAAATCATTCATCCCAGATGGCAGCATTGGATTACCTTGTATCATTAGAGAGTGATATCTTTGTCCCCACTTATGATGGAAACATGGCCAAAGTAGTAGAAGGTCATCGCAGGTACATTTCTGCTAAAAATTTGGTTCTGTTCTGATGTATATTGGAAAGTGTCGATTGTGTTCTTGATTTGCTTTTCTTTTCCCCTTCCTCTTCAGATGAACGAGTAATTGATATTATATACTCTCCACCTATGATACCAAACTGGTTATATATCATCAGCTGTGTATATCATTTTCTTTTTAGTGAGATGACTTTGTACCCTTGATGCTTTTACAGATATCTTGGGTTTAAGAAGACAATTTTATTGGATAGAAAGCTCCTGGTTGATTTGATAGATCAGTATCACAATGAAGTATTAAACTGGGATGAATTCTCTTCAGCCGTGAAGCAAGCTCATGCCGGTCGCATGGGCAATCCAAGCAAAAGAATAGCAATACCCGAGAGGCCGAAAGAAGAGGATTATTTTTATGCCAATCCTGAGGAATGCTTAGAACACTCAGAAGATGATCCATTTAGAAGTACGTGAGGAATGTGTTTGGAAAAATAATGGGATTTACCTGTGTCTCTACCTGGTGCACCTGGATTTTCTACCACGGATACTGATCTACACAGTTTCTGGCTCTCAGCCAAGATGATGGCTTTTTCTCTCAGAAGGGGCTGTTGAACTTTAAGGGTATATAGACTTTGAATGAAAGCTCAGGGAAGTTTAACTGAAGCAACAGGCGGGAAATAGTTTATATATATATATATATATATGCAAATAATCCAATCACATTCATGTATAGAAGCTACCCTGACATTGCGGGGCGAGAGCTTAGTAAAGCGCATTGTACACGAGAGAGATTCTTATACAAATTTGGATTAATGGAACCTGCAGTTCTTGGAAGCGCTTACCTGTTAAGTCCAATAATCCCCACCTATTACTGCCTTTGCCGATTATAATTATGTATTATGTAGCCTCTTATATGACTTGATAGAGATGAAGGCGAGGGATATGAATGGTCACAAGCCAGTCAGAAAAAGTTCCCTTGAGTTGTTTTCGTTTTGGTTTATTACTTTATTCCATTAATGATATACTGTCGAATAGGTGGTCGTTGGAAGATGATGCTTTGTTACAATGTTGTCGGTGTCCCTTTTATTCCGGCCTAGCACGCGTCCATTGTTCTTGAATTAATTAATAAATTGGTATTTGAAGTCGAATTCGTTGAAGAAATTGTCGTGTTATACCAACATTTTATCATAGCATTATAATTTGACATCAATCATGTTTAGACCCAACGGAACACATACGTGGCATTTGTTTTGCCATGTCGTACGTACAGTTACCATGTGAAATAACGAAAATCAAATACAGACGTAATTGACAACTAAGAACCACTAAGATAAAAGTTGATGACAATTACAAATGAAATCAAGACAATTGTGAAGGTTCATAAAGATATTTGTTTAAAAATTTCGCAGTGAATTTTATGGATGATTTATTTTCAGTTTAAATTTTCTGAATAATAGAAACGCATTTCCTCGTTCAAAAACATGATGTAGTATTACCGGCGCAATTGTATTATTGTTAATAATTAATAATGATTTATCCCAGAACGGTGATGGAATGATGGCGACTTAAATTTTATCAAGAAAAAAAAAATACATTACTGGTGCGTTCATTTATTCGCAAGTGCACATTGAAATTATAAACAAGTGAGCGCTGTAAGCCGCACAGTGGTCCAAATCAAAATTCTACATTATCGTATATTTTATGTTTTATTTGAACATTTGATGGCCACAAGCGTGAAAGTGGTAAGTTGTATGCGTCTCCTTTTTCAGAAGTGGATCACCACTTCAAGGATTCTCCCAGAAACCCATGTCTTCTTTGACAACTAGCAAGTGGCGGACACCTTCATTTTGCTTCAATTCTATGGATCTAATAGGAGGCTGCCAGGTTAGGCTTTTATTATTATTCAAATGCAATTGGCTTAAAAAAGTTCTTTTTCTTTTTCTTTCTTTCTTTCTTAATTCTTTCTTTGTTTTTTTTTTTTTTGGTCTTCGGCCGAAAAAGCTTAAGAAAAGGTTGGAAGTATCTACTTTGAATTGGAATTAACAAGATTGAGTCATAGTATACCCGGGCTGGACTGAAAGCAACTTCTCTCCAAACATTGCTTCGTTGATTAGCCAAATGATCAAAGGACCATTAACTTTAATTAATTAATTAATTAACAATATTCTTATAAGTTGGAGAAATCTATATAGGATCGGCTCTGGGGGGAAAAGGAAAATATAGAAAGCTGAAGGAGATCCCGAGAAAGTTCTCGTGAAAGTTTCAAGACTATAAGGTTAAATAATTAATTAAATAGCTTGAAGGATCCAAGAATCTCCACCTTAGAGAATGAAGCCACTTGGAATTCAGCATTTATTTGACAAGTCGCTATACTGCTATAGCATATAAAGAGATGCTGGCTCGGGTTGAGCCAAATGCTTGTGCTTAAAGCGATTGATTCTTGCTCAGTCATAATCTGAATCTGCATCTGCAATGAATAATCTTCATCACCAACGAGGCTTTCCTAGTTGGTGCTTTCTGCTTCTCCTAGGCACTACCTTCCTTGCATTTTACTTAATGAAAATTTCTAGTTCTAATCCAAGCATGTTATGACTTCTTAACTCCTAGATTTGGACGGTTATAAGTAAGTCAATCACAAGTACCATAAAGAACTAGTATTTAATCTCACATGCCTGATGCCCCATTATCAACTTTTTTGATACCGAAGCAAGTTTATGTTTTGGGTCTGATGGTCACATTATTACCTCGTTTTCTCACTATGCCACCTCTCCTCAGGTCAAGGGTCCACTATATATGTAAACCAAAATAGAAATTACAATTCTGAGATTTCATTGATAAAGATCAAACCCAATTAAAAGAAGACTGCAAAAAGTTTTTCCACCCAATTAAGGACTGATGAAGAAGTGAGTGCTCCTTAGAATTGCAGAAAGTTCATGCTCTATTTGTTAGAACGCACGCACGCAAGCACATGTTTCTGTCGTAAGTGTACGGGACGCCTGATCCCATGCCACTGCAGCAGAAGATAAGAAAAATGGGTCATAGATTTCTCCGGAAAAGAATGGACCACCTCCTTCGAGATGAGAACTGTTAAAATGGCATCATGTGTTCAATTATTAATACGGTCTGTGGCAGCTGATCCAATGTTGCTGCGTTGAATGTGATCATAAAATATTGGCAAGACGCGTCGAGAGAGTCAGACAGGCTCTTTTGGCACTGCATTCATGTGTGATTTTTACAGGTTTCATTAAAAAGATTAATAATTATAACTCTCAGGTGACTGATCATGTAATATGTATAATAAACCATTACATCAGAGTGATGTCACCTAGTTTGATTTTTTCACTGAATGCCTGAATCTACCCAAGGAGGAAAACAAAAGAGAGAGAGATGGACAAAAACTTAAAGCTATAGTGGAATCCACCAAGAACTCCTTAGATCTTAGTGTCACTTTGTTTATTCCCTTCGTTTTTCTTAAGCTCTCCCTTTGTGCGAAAGGTGTACTGCACGGAAAGTATGCCTTTTGACGGGATTTAAAGCAATACGGAGAGGGTCTGACAAAAATATTCAGAAAGAGAGCAATAGGTTGCACTCTCCTCAAGCTTTTAAAAAAGTACGTTTAGACCAGACAACCAATGTTAGAAAAAATACAACATAGAAAAAGCCAAGAGTTAATACAAACTTTACATGAATGGAAGCCTTGATAGTTAAAAAAACAGCTTCTCAATTAGAATGGAAGCCTCTATAATTAAATAATTCAGAAAATAAATTATTCATATCATTTTGTTGGGGAAATCTAAAGGTCCCAACACAACTAAGACACTACATGTACAGTCGACCTCACCCTTCTCGCTGATAAGATGCCAGCAGAAGACGACTTGAAGACCCCTTCAAAATTAATTGTAGAGAAAGAGAAAAGTAGCAAAAATTTGAATAAAACGTATAGTAAGGAACGAATGAATATGACAGTTGAATCAACTTCTGCTTGTCTTCAGCTTCTTCACTGCTAGGTCAGACTCCTCTACGCTACAAACTCTAGAGCGCTTCATCCCCTGCTTGGTACAAGTAACTTCATCCTATAGCAAATGATAGAAAAATTAGCCAAGAGTTCAGAACTCTGCAACATGAAGCCTAGTAACAAATCCAAATCCCCGTATTATAATAAAAACAGGCAAAGGGTAAATGCAGGGTGAGTATACCTTTACTCCAGAAGTTGGTCCAATTGGTCCGATGTTTGCTTGCTTACCAAGCTCAATTTGCACTGAGATGCTAGCCTGTGACAAATCCACTCCTGAATTCTTCAGTGCATGCGTTAGTGAATCCAGCAACCTGTCCAACGTTTTAATGAATCAGATTTTTGAGAGAAATATTGCAACCTAGTAACAAAGGTTTAATTTTGGGTCTCTGAGAGAAATATAGTTGAGCAGACCAGAAAAATAATAATAAAAATTCAATCGAAGGTAGAAGAACCCTCTGACTTCATACACTCACTAAGTTCAAATTTTGTGCAGTGATCTGCCTGGCTAATACAACGTGTAAAAATAAAGACTATAGCATTAGTCTTGATTTTTGCACCTTGTGTTGGCCTTTTGAGTAACCTACTAGTAATCTATTCTGTTTGCATTCATGTATTAAGTACAACTTGAAAATATTTAAGAACTAAAACTTTTATTTTTATCATGAAAACAAAACTAATTAAGAAGAACTGAACAATTTCTCACCCTTTTGAGTACACACTTGATATGCTAATAGCACCGCTTTCAACGGTGAGCTCTTTCTCTTTAAGCTTATCACTAGCAGCAGTCACCCCTGTAGCAGAAGAGTAAGTCTGAGATTGCCCCAAGGGATTACACAAGGTGTTTTCAGCATCTGACGTTAGCTTGTGTGTGAGCTGAGACACCAATCTACCTGGACCGCCACTTCGAACAGGATTGAAGAAATTTGGCTGTGGAGAGTTAGGAATTGGCACGGCCTTATTGGTCATTCCAGGATGTTGATTCATTGACTTCAATGTAGTTGCAGAACTAGTTCCAGCATCTACGTTCTTTGTGGCCCCAGTAATTGTTGGGGAGATGCTAAAATTTTCCTCCTCCATCTTTGAAGGGAACAGTAATATGGGAGGAGGAGGTGACCCGCTATTTATGACGCGAGATTGATCATCATAGCTTTCTGAACGCCTGTGATTATTCCTCTGCTTAAAATTGAAGATCAATAATCAGTTTTTTAGGTGAAGAGGTCACAGTCAAATCAATTTACTTCTTAAGTAATAAGAGGTCACACACAAGCATCGGTTGCCACTTCTGTCACATCTATCTGCCTTGCTGGATCTATTCCAACAAGGAGATCCAACCAAATGATGGACGGATAACAAGGCTAGTCAATTATTATTTTCTCTCTTTAAATTCTCCGCAAGTCGTAAGAGGAAGTATGATAGTTACCCATGGAGTCAATTTTTCTTTCTCTTGGTTCCACACTTGGTATGAACCTTCGTGCCTATGAACCTTATCTTGTAAAAACTGAATGTACTCAATAACCTGCAAATAATTCAGATAACTGCGGTTTAGCAATTAACAATTAGCAATTCAAGTAATAAGATATCCATCAGATCGCATGAATTTACCTCCAACAGAAAAGATGCCTTATCTCTTTTCTGGTCACTATGTGGAATAAGCTCCCTCAACATCTGGAATCTGCATTGAAATGGCATATCAGATTCAAGCAACAGTATCAATCTTGAGTCATGACCGATCAATAAGGAGAAACAACTGAATAAATTCTTATATTATCTAAGAAAATACTTTTCTGAAAGATATTATAACTGAAAATCTCTCATCATCTTTCACAAGTTTCATCACTCAGTAATTTCGTGTTACGAAAAATTCGGTAAATTTGGTATTGGTGCACTTCAATGCAATCATTTTTCAAAGCAATATAACCAAACATTACGAAAGAATATGATAGTTTCATCCCATTATTGAGGTTTTGTGTATGTAGGTAGACTATGCAATTTCACTATCACCCAAGGAAAGTTGTAGCGGCGGACTTGAATGATTGATACATGGTAACTAACACTTGCCTGTCATTAATTTTGCTCCTTCTACGCTGTTCTGTTGCAGAATGTTTTGATCGCGGTGTGTTTGGCCTTTGTTCAGAGCTCTTCCCGTCCACTTTCACTCTCAATTCCCTGCAAATAATAGCACAATTTAACAACAAACTTCAAACAAGTGGCCACAACCAAAATGGGTCCACCCCCACCAAAATTGATTGTGAACAAAGTATAGCAAACTGCAACAGCCGGGGCAGCTAGAGGCCAAAATGGTTTCAAACCTGAAAACTAATTGCACAGCGTTCTCAATCATATCATCATAATTAGTTCCGCGAAATATACAATACTACTTGGAACGAGCGTAAAAGAGGATCATAGCAAGAACAACACACACGTATATATAGAAGTGGTCTGAGTAATGAGCTACCTCTTTGTTGGGTATTTGAGGATTCTTTCTTAAAGATGAATGCTTCTTCGTTGTCTAACTCCTCATCCTGAGAGCAATCCTTGGCAGATTTTATCATATCAATAAAACTCTGGTTCTTCTGCCCAGTTTTCCTGTCATATTAATACCCAGAAATCCAAACAAACGCGTAAATAACTCATTTTAAAAAAGAAACTAGTTTTCGTATAATGATCACACACACACACAGAAATTTGACTTACTGAGAGGAAGTGGCAGAATTGAAGCTATTCTGATGATTCTTAACAAATGACTGAGATGCTCTCTCCGTCACCGACCACTGCCCCGGCTTGGCCGCGCACTCTGGCGGGAGAAAGCAGCAAGATAGAGCCATTATAGACATAATACTGACAAGTTGTAATTGTCCCGTTATAATTACCATTACCATTAGAACGCATAATTATATTTTAAGTTGGTCTTGACATCAATATCTTTCTGGTCCATGCACGTGCAGATGATGGTAGTTACTAATTAAAACAAATATGAAGTAGCTCGCAACATTTATTTCAAGGTGTATGCGCGTACAAATTAGAATAACTTTTATTACCTGCTATAACGGATTTCTCTCCCACCTCATTCTCCTTCCCTGTCTTTCCCTTCTTAACGGTAGACTCTTCCCACAAAGTGAAACCACTTCCAGTGTATGAACTGCAGTTGGAGTTCTCCTCATTTCTATCTGTACTCGCTTCACAAGGAGACACAGTGAAAAGGGTAGCCTCCGGCTTTGGAACCCTGGGATTACTACAATAGGAAATGTGGCTGATACTGTAAGTCCCAATGCCTCCAGGTAGGATGTGCTCAACACATGGCGGCGGCGGCGGCGCAGAAGGCGGCAGCTTTTGAACCACTGATGATATCTCATCCGATGCTTCTTCCTTCGTGTTTGCTTTCTTCTCAACCCGTTCTAGTGGCTGCAAGAAATCACGAGTCTTCAGGTAACTTCCTGTTCACGCATGAGAAAGGCGAAGGATGCTGCTCAGATTTAACGATAAGTATTACCAGGAAAAGAAGAAGAAGAACGTGAATGAAAAAGCTAAACCATGAGGATTTGAAGAACGGCCGTTACTTCATTTTCATTTCAAGCAGGACCACAAGAAGGTCGTTTGTTTTCTTGTTATTAATTCATCACAGCATCAAAAGACACGTATCAGAGAAGGAACCAACGACCGGTAACTACATACTGCTACTTTTAAATTTAGCCTTCAGTTATTATCAGCAATATCACGATATGGCACAGTACACTATCAACGCAGGTTCGCAGTAACACGGTAAACATGTACGTTACTCCATAACTAATGCAGCGAACAAACCTAATATGAACCGAGATTCTACCTGCTTCCATAGAATATAAATTATTTATTCGATAATATACTAAAAAAGAAGCACAGAAGGAGGCCATAAATGCGTGGTTTGTAGGAAAAGCAAAACCCGGCTTTGGAAAGACATTAAAGGTTGTGCCAAAACCAAAACTATCCATTTCAGCCGAAAAAGACAAACCTTTCACTTTGAGGAAGAAAGATTTAAAAAATAAATAAATAACACGCCGAAATGAGAGAGATGCATATCCAAAATTCCAAATCTTTCATTTTCATTTTCATTCCCTTCTCAGTGACGGTGAAACGTTTGGAGGCTGTAATTTCAGGAACGGGGAGAAAAAAGCGTTCACAAGAATGCCATTTTCCTTCTTCCCAGCTGCACGAGGCCTGGCGAGAGACGTCAAATCATCTGCTTAAGTCAAGTGCAAATCGGGTCCTACCATCACCAAGTCTCCCATGTAATCCGACGGTGCTAAATACTTGGTGATTGCTACTTTTTCAATTTGATGTGAAAGCCTCCCGAAGAACTATATTAATTTAAAACATTTAAAAAAAATAGTAAGTGGCCCGGTAGATTCATGGCCCAGATCCATGATTCAACTGCAGTCACGTGCACGAACAACAACCGCGATGGATAATTACTGAAATTCTTCATTTCTTTTTTAACATGATGCATGCAACAACAATAACCACCCCGCGAGAAAAAAATTCACATTCACAGTCAACAGATTTTCGATAATTACTAAAACTCTTGGCTCTTTCTAATAGGGTTAAAAGAAAATCAGAATACCTTGGCATGGTGGCCTCGGATCGTGCTGGGCAGTTGAATGACTGTACAGTGACAGTGAGTCATGCGTCGGTTTTCTTGCTGCAAGGCCGGGGGAAAAAATAGAATCGGATTTAGAAAATTTCACTTCAAACAAATTCAAAGGAGATTAAACAGAAGAAGAATAGCAGTTCCAGCAACTACCTTCGGTTCCAAAGGGGCGCGCTTGAGGAAGCTCCATGCATCCAAAGCTGTTTCAAAACCTTTTCTTACCGGTGATTCAATGGAATTTTGAATTCTTTATGCTGCAGAAGCTGAATTCTTGCACAATTCAGCTAAGCTTAAACTGAATTCTCCGAAATTCGAAAGTGAAGCGTGATTCAGAACTTGAAACTTGGATCAATATGAAGCAAGCGATTCTCAGATCGGAAATCCACAGAAATCTTTTTTTTTTTTTCCTTCCCTTTTTTCTTTTATTTTCTATTTTTCCTGTCCGTCTTATCTTGGCAATTACGCACCCCAGGCTGAAGATCAGATACGCATTCCCTTTCTCATATTCTAAATGTCTGTCTATTCATCAACTTTTCAGAAGGAAGGGATCATCGCGTCCAAGACACTACCAGAAAATCATCCATACTCAGAGATTTCTCGGAATCTGGAAAATCAGAATTACACCTAATTAGCCACAAATTTTACGGGTTCATGCTGATCGTGTTTGCAGCAGAAAACTCACAGTAGCATAATTCATCTTTTTAAATGAAACAAAATATAAAAAAAAATAACCAAGGAAACATGCTAACTACCCAGAAGCAACAATCAGACGAAATTTCGGGAATTTAGCACCATAACAAACAGGACAAAAATTAAAAAGACAAAGGATCCAGAGGACAAGATTGAAGCATTGATTCGAATTTTGTTAGCAAGTATTCTTTGTTCATACATACAGTAGTAAGAAAAAAGAAAATTAGCAGACAACGTGTATAGCAATAGTTTCATGCTTACTTGAAGCCGGCATGAATCAAATGACAGAAACTGGAGCGGGCAGTGAGATGGAAGCAGAGAAGAATCAAAAGAAGAGGAAGGAAAAATATCAGTTTACTTTTTTTAAAAAGAAACCAATCTGTCACTTTCTGTTTCGGAATCGTTTGATCTGTGAGGACTAAGGTGAGAAGGGTGGCCTTCAGGTCGGACTCTGTTCTCTCTCTCTCTCTCTCTCTCTCTCTCTCGGCGTCTGTTGGGTGAAAGATCTTTTTATAGCAGGAGAGTTTCTCGCATTCTGTGTTGTGGCTTTCAACTGAACTCCATCTCCGTGAAGCTAATAACTCCGTCAGAGACGTCGTTGCGGCGGCTAACGCCGTTTCACCAAATAAAATAATAAATAAACGGTTTATTCTAATGCGACAAGCTGCCGTTTACTCCAATACTGTCATACATAATGTTATGTGATGTTTATGCTTCGGCGATCCCCATAATATTATCTTTTATTTTCTCCGATCCCCATTCTTATCTATTTCATCCTTGTTTTCCTTCCTTGAATTTTTATAAGGCAACAGGACTCTCTGAAAGAAGCCTCTATCTTTTACTGTGTCCAAAAAAAAAATGGGGAAAATATTTTGCCTAAAAAACGTGGAATATGCGAGGATGAAATTCGCAATGCATCAACGAAAAAATTCAATTGAATTTTAATCTATCCGAAGTAATTGTTAATTTTTAAAAAAAAAAATTAGATCACTTTTGTACGATAAATGATGGAAAGAATCAGTGGACTATTTCTTTGGGCCAAAGGAGAGTCACTGCACAATTGATCTAACGTGTAATGTAATTATAAAAGTTTAACTAGCTAGAATTTTCAGGTTCAGATTTTTCACTGGAAAGGGTCTAGATCCAACGTGATCTGAATTAGTATGGGTATGTTAAAGTGTCGTCAGCTTGATGTTGGGACATGTTTGGGTGAAAACAATAGAAGGGGAAAGACGTTTAAAAAAAAAAAAAACAAGAAGAAGAAGGAGGTGGTGAACGGGGAGTGGAGAATAGATGGAGGAGGAAAAGGACGGAAGGCAGGTGATGACAGGGAAGGGTGGGTTCAGGGATGTGTTGGTGCGGTTCGTTTGGGGGTCACGTGAGCGTAACAAGAGTGGTGGAGTTGACTGCAGAACGGGACTAATTGACGCGGGATTAACCAAAGAAACCCATCATAATATTATTAACACTGATGCTCATGATTAGAGCGCGCTTCCCGAGCTCATTATCCCCTCATTACTCCCGCTCCCTTCTAATCACCCTTCTTCTTCTTCTTTTTTTCTCATTACTATATATTATTGTTGGTGTCAGCACACTGGTGGCAGGGATCTCAACAAAAGCAAAGAAGGACAGTCGACCCTGAGGACGTTCGTTTCGGGCCCCGATGGGAAACGTCACGTGCCGCCCCGCTCTCCTTCTCAAGTATTCCCTCCGTTTTCATTCGTACGATTAACTGTTTTAATTATGTTTAAAAATAAAAAAATAAACTATAATATTCTTTTATTAACCGTGCTAATCAAATCTTCATTAATTTTTTTTAATTATAAATGATAATATTAACATGAATAATTTAAAAAATTTGTAACAAATACCGTTTTTAAAAATGCAATTTTGTTTATATAATAAAAAACAAATTAAAAAGAATAGTTGCTTGGAGCACATATAACCGCACCTCAATCGCTGATATCAGATTCTTGCCCAGTTTCAAATAGTGATGGCACCCACCTCCATACCAGACTTCATCTTACTGTCACACGACTTCCAGTTTGTAAATAAGTATAAATTATATTAGAATTTCAAAAAAAACTATATATGAGAGAATTGGTAGAGGCAAGGTGCAGTGTAAGAAACAGAGTTTTTTTTTTTTTTTTGGAGAATGAGAATAGACGGGGAAGGAGGAGGGGGAGGCATGTGAGTTTTGAATAGATTAAGGAGGCCGCAGCTTCCCGCGCCCTTCCCTGCCTTTATGTAATACTTAGTTAATTATTCGTAATCTTGGATGATGACTGCCTCCACCCCCTATTTTGTTATTATTTTTATGAATCCAGATTAGCCTCATGCACGAATTTATATTCCCTTTTGCATTTCTCCGACAATCATGGCCACCATTCCCCCCCTCACGCCAGCTTGGACTCCCAATATATATATCCCCGTCGCCTTTACAGTTTACATATTCCCTCCTGCTTTTCTCCTCCTTCCATTTCCTGTGATCCATTTTTCAAGTTTATATCAATTTCTTATCATCACAACAAAGAGTTTGCCGAGATTTTTTGCCAAAAAAAAAAAAAGAGTTGTGCCGAGATTAACATGTACATCTTCCCCATCCACACATCACCGCTTCCTCATGCCGTCCACATTACATAACTTGGCAGGCACACTGCCTCCCCTCCCACCCCTTCTTCCTTTTCTTATTTTTTTTAAAATAAATAAATTGTTTAATCTAGTCTCCCATACCTAATTTTTTCTCTTTCCTTATAAAATTACTTGCAAGTTAAATATCGACAGAAAAAAAAAATAGCAGTTATTTGATGACAATACGATTAGCCTATTTTTTGCTAATAAATTGTTAATGAATTTTGTGATTTTTTATTATATTGTGAAGGACTTGTGTGAATTTTTTTTTTTTTATTTCTTGCCGTTTGGTGTGGTGGGGGGGGGGTATTGATGCGGGAGGAAGAAGGGGGGCGAGAAGAGGGGAAGGAAGGGAGAAGGAGCACTGTAGTTGGCAGATCTGAAGACAATGGACAAAAGCAGAGGGCTACAACGATAGTGCCTTGTCGCCACTTGTTGGGACGTCCTTCCATATTGTCTTTTCATCATTTTCACCCCTCCACCTCCCCCCTCGCCCCCTTTTCTTTTCCTCACTTCTGTTCTTTTATCCGTGTTCGTTAGGACTCAGGAGCTACCGCACTCACCCTGTATTTTTCATTTTTTTTGCACAACACTCAAGCTTGTCCCCATTAAAAAGATAAGTACACATTCAAATTATATTAAACGTTACTCCTTTCAAATTATAATACAAAAAATTTTTTAAAATTTTTTGCTTGGTCCCAAATATAAAATAATTTATAATTTTTATAATTATTTTTAACTATATTCCAACTTCATTTGTTATTTTTTTTAAAAAAAATAATGTATTGGAGTTTCAGTTATCAATATCAAGACATTTATATAAGATATTTAATAAAAATAAAATTAAAAAATTTAAATTATTTTGAAAATTAAAATTTTAACTAATATTTTTTAAAAATCTTGAATTAATTGTCAATACTTTATATTTTATAGTAGAAAAACGCATATCAAACAGACAGTAAACAATTTTCTATATCATTGTATTCTAACAATTTTTTTGAAAAAAGTATTATTGTATCCTATCAACAACAACAACAAATGCATAGTTAAACAAATTCCAAGAGTTTCCAACATTAAGTAAAACCGTCCCTGAATGAAAGTACGAAACCAGGCCGAGAAGGAATTCACCCCCGATCCCATGCGACTCCGCAGGTTTTTTTTTTTTGGGGGGGGGGGTAAAATCACTACAGGTTTAATGACTAAAGATAATATGATCGAAAATTCTAGTTTGAAAAATAGGAGCACAGACAAAAAGTTAAAAAAAAGAAAAAGAAAAAAACACACAGAGAGATGGCGGGGCGATGGGACGTGGAGAAGCCATCAGCCGTCGCTGTCGTGCCTGTCGTTGCACATATTCATGGTAGTGGATGGGGCCACGTGAGTTGACCCCTCAACTCACGTGCACTTGAACGATGCCATACCGGCCCACTTGCTCTTCCGCACCACTTTTCTCTTTCCTGTGCCCGACAAAAATAAAATAACCGCTTTGGAGTATGGACGATCACGATCCGCTCTCGGCGTGCTTTATAATTAATAATTATAACGTCAAATTATAAAAAATTATTTATTTATTAGCTATCATCTTTTACTTAATGAACCCAGATCCATTTATACTGGATGCAAAGCGTCAACCATCAAGGGGGGAAGATTTTAAGTAAAAATATGTCCGGAATTTCATCCTAAAGTAGATTTTACACCGAGGTGTTCCCGAAACAAGGTAGGATTGAAACACCCGCGTTCCATCTTAATAAAAAAAAATTGAGATTAAATTTATGATCCATCCCATTAAGAATCAGAAAAGAATCAGGATAAAATTGAGAAATCTTGCCGTCTCAATAAATTAGATAATATTAAAGAAAGATCTTGATAATAATATTCATTAAATTTTAAATTATATAATTTATTAAGTTTAAAATTAAAACAATACAAATACATAAATCATAATAACTTAAAAGTAATTATTAAATTACGTTAATCACAACTACACATTATAATAGCAATTAAAAGTGATCCTTAAATTATAAGAGTAGCAACAACAGGTTAGTCAAATACCACTATCAATTCATTGTCATTATACTTTAATTGAGATGTGCTTAATTAATTACTCTTTTAAAAATAAAGTAAGACATACAATATAAATAAAAATTATTAAATAGATGGATATAAGAATAAATTATATTAATATAATTAATATATTATAAAGAAAGATATCTTCCTATTTACGCTATGTTATTAAAATTATCAATAAAAAATTTTAATTTTAAATAAGAATTGCATGTATTAAAATTATAATTGATATAATTAATATAGACATAAATTATATTAATATAATTAATATATTTAATACATATTTTTAAAATAAAAAATAATATATATATATATATAATATTCGGAACAAAACATCCCAATTTCCATCCCGAATAATAATCCCATGTTCCATCTCATTTCGTCCTATAAAATTTTATCTCGATTGTTTTGAAGTTAAAATAAATTTTAAAAATATCAGGCCAATCAAAGATAAGTATAAGTTAGACACCTCCAACAACACTCTCTGTGGAATTGTTTTTTCTTGATTGTCGATAGTAACGAGATGCGATCAGACTTGAGTGCCGCCTACATTCATTCTCATACATTCCTTTCGTCTTTAACGTCTGTAAAATTTAATTGTACTCTTTAGGTTCTTCACAAAATCAAGTTTCACGTGACTAGCATCAAAACCCATTCATTCAAAAACAAAATGCCCTGATTTTTTATTTTCATATATCCACCAAGCATTAATTTAAGTATAGCATAAATCAATTTTAGTTTTTTTCCGGATCATATAATGATAAAGTCTCTGCCGGCTGAAAAGAAATTATATATACATACATGCGTGTCTGATGGTGGGTTAAAAAA